GTAACATGTCTTTTATGGGGTGATGCCCACCATGACACAGGAGATCTGGGGAGGAAAAAAGGTGGTATTGAGGTCTAGTCTTCGGTCTCATGATTATGAGTCATATCCAATGTGGTCCACTAACGTGGCCAGGATAGAATCTGGTGAGGAGGCAGGTAGGCTTTGCTCCTGGATGGAGTCCAGGAGTCAGTGGCTAGGAAGTGAGACAAGATGATGTGGTACTTGGCTCCCTGAAGTCAGATTGTACCCAATATGACGTCCTAGCACAGGGTTGCTACAGACAGGTTCTCAGCTCCGCTGGCCAGCATGACTATGGTTAGTCCTTACTCCCCAGGCTAATGCCTTTGAGTCTTCTAATTTGAAAAAGCAGGTTGGAGTGACAGTGGCAGCTAAGACAGTCAGAGAAGCAAAACCAGGGCCAACAGATGAGTCACAGATATGTATGAATGAACGGGAGTGGGCTGAGGAGCGAGGAGTCAAGGCTTCTGCAGAACTACTTGTGAGGACTGGCGTCAGCCTCGGCCTTCTCAGCCGTAATCTTTGCCAAGCACAGGAGACCCCTAAGAGTAGAAAGGGCCAGTTACCACGTGTCTATTCATTTCCTCCTCGTCTACCCACCAGCTAAGACCCTCCTCACCAGGATCCGTCAGACCTGCAATTATCTTAACGTAGTTCAGTTGGTCAAGATGTGGCTCTCAGGACATCAGATGTGGTTGGGACCTAAGAGATCTCTGAAGAGACAGCCAGGGCTTTTCTAGAAATTGAGATGAAGCTATGAGGTCAGATCAGTGGTGAACAGACCCACCACCATGGTTTTATTGCAGATCAGTAGAGAGGGAAGCCTGGGAAGATGACACTTCCACAGTGTGTCTCAGGCTTAGTCAGCCATTCCTGGGAAAGGCTGTGCCCTGCCCTTCAGGCAAACCCCTTAGGCCAAGTGGCAGTGTCTCCAGTCTACAGAGGCAGAGGAATTTCATAATGGCAGAAATTCTACCAAGGCTGTGCTAATGACAGAGGGCTTTATTCTCCAGTAAATGAGAGTAGGAGGCTACAGGGACGGCATGCTTATTGGTTCCCATGGCAGCATTCTGATTATATGTCGATGTCATTCTCCCTGATGTAGTCCTGTGGCCCATGCTGTTATTAATATGCGTCCTCCTGTCTGATCCAGGCAAAGTGAATCTTTATCATTAAACTCACATACCATACCCAAGAGAAACAATGTCATTGGTCATGAAAGAGATTCCTGGGCTTTGCTCCAGAAAAACTTTCCTCAGAATGTTTGGACAGTGTCCCCCACTCCCCAAATTAGCATTTTCAAGTAAGCGTTTTAGGTGAAAATGAAAGGCACTAATGTTAGAGAAGCAATGGCAGAAAGCAGTAAAAAAAAAAAAAAAAAAATGCCATTTTTAGATAGCACACACTTCACCAAGTGAAAACAGCTCTGGTGACATTTAATGAACAAAAGAGAAAATGGTCTAGAATTGAGTACAAGAAGCGGCTGATCAATCATCCAGTCATTCTGTATATACATTTATGACTTCGGGGCCTGAGAGGCCTGGAGAGTGTGTGAGCAGCAGTTCATGGCACAGTTTAAAGGAACTGTGATTTAGCACACATGTTGGGAAGCTTGCCAGAGGGACCCAGAGGGACCCAAGCCCCAGCTGGGAAGGAAGAAGAGAGGGAGAAAGCCAAAGGAGGGAGCAGCAGCCCCTTTCCAACTTTCATGTACGGTGGGAAGTGAGGAGAACCCTCCCCCTTTCTCCTTTGGAATGGGTGTAAAAGCCTCCTGCTCCCAAATTCCGCTTCTTTGTAGTTCTGTCCTGATGGTATACAATACAGAATTCAACTCAAAAGCTTGATTTGGACCAATACATACATTATAAGGGGTGGGCCTATCAGTGTTGTCCTAGATTGGAGAAATGGCCCCAGTGAGCACACCCAGCGAGAGAGGAGGAGGCTGGGAATAGAGCCTGTGAAAGGGAAGCGGGTTGGGGAGGAGTGTGCACCCTGGCAGCTTCCACAGGTGGGGTGGCACTGGGCTTCAAGTGCCCATCGGCAGCCTTATCTGATCTGCCGTTTTCGTCTAATCATCCTGGGCATCACCTAGGATGACCATGTCGCTGCTCCAACAACAGTTTCGCCCCTCGTCCCCATGGTAGCGGTCCCAGAGCAGGGCCTCTCAGATACGGAGCTCGGTGCTTCTCCTCCTGCTGTGTTCCTCCGAGTTCGATGCTGTAGCCACACCCCCCTCCCGATTCCCACTCTGTCATCAGGCTTCTTCCCTTTCCACCGTCTTCTCTTAAACATTGACATTCCTGTCACTTATATCTGTGACTTGGTAGATGGCTCTTTTCACCCTTGTTTCCATTGGGTGATCCTACCCGCCTCCGTACGCGTGGGCTCATGTCTACTCATGTCTACTGAAGGACCACTCACTCCCAAAGCCAAATTTCCACCCCAGGTGTTTGTTTGTTAAGTCTCCAGCCATATATCAAATGGCCTTCATAATTTCACAAAGATGTGACATACATTTATATCAACATTATTTAGAATATATATAATAAAAAGAATTGCCGGGCCACATCTTTTTTGAGAGATGGTATCTTGGAGAAAGTGGTTTGTTTTGAGTGAGGTTTCCAGGAGAAACTGTAAGAGAGTGAGGGCAGAGTTGGGGAGGGGAGGAGATGGACATCCAGAGCATGTGGCCTCAGAGTCTAGCTGTAGCCTCACTGGACATCTGCACAGGCTCTGAGCACCCATCACCTTTCATAGTCAATTGTTCATGAGGCACTGGAGTCAGGCTTTGGCACCCAGTGGGAGAAGGGCACCATTCAGTCACATGGTGGAACAGAACTGCCCTGCCTTCTCCAGGACAAGCGATTTCCAGCAGCCAAAGGCAGTTCTCTTGAGAAGGTTAAAGAGTCAACCTGGTGGCTGCAGCTGTCATGAATCTGGAGGATGGGCACAGCGGCCAGTAAGGGGCTCTCTAAAAGGTCACCAACAGCTCCTTAGAAGATTGCTAAGACAGTCTGTACTATGTTTTGGCCTCACCGTGAGTACTTTATGGATACATCAACAGACTTACCCTTTAAGGCAAGGTTCCTACCGTTTATACAGTTTACAGTGAGGGAAATGAGGCCTACCTAGGTTAAAAGGTGCCTGCCCCAGGGGCTACCTTAAGTGTGTGGTAGAGAGAGCTTCAGCATCCTGAGTGCAGAGATTATAGGTGTGTGCCACTCTGCCTGGCTATCCATTCACCTCCTCCATCTTGTCCTTTTGCCCTGGACTCTTTGCCTTGGTTCTCCTCTTCTCCTGTGAGCTCTCTAAGTTAATCCCTTCACTGCTACTCCTCCCCCATGCTTAGTTTCAAAGTGGTAGATGTAAAATGCCGCAGGGATCTGAGCATAGGCTTCCAAGTCCACGGGCCTAGTCTTGCATCTCTGCTGAGCTTATTGCTGGTCCCGTAACCTTGTGCAAATGTCGGGCTTCAATTTCATCATCTCTACACAGAGGCAACCATTACTGTGAGGATAAGATGAGATGATGTATAGCAAGTGTCCATGGTTCCTGGCACAGAATAAGCACATGATTAGAAAAAAAAAAATGTTGTCCCTCCCCAATGCCTACCAGCCATTCGAAGAACCTTGGGAGCTTAGACTATTTTCGTAGAAAGTATTGAACAGCAGGGCGGAGAATATATCAGAAGACTGTGGCCATGAGAAGACTCATTAAGGGTCAAAAAAGAAGAGATGGCAACTCCTTTCCATCGGTGTGCAGGGTTTAGAAAGGAACAGATCCATTCTTCCTCTTGTGCTACCCAGGGAGTATCTATCTAACTGGAAGGCCTGAGCAAGCTGGTGTGTGTGGGGGGACACTCGGGGGACACTCAGCAAGTCCCATGAGCTGAGACATTCTTCTTGTCACTGGTTGAGATTTAATAACAAAGCCTGAGAAAAAAAAGTTATTTCGTCTCCTTTTGTGGCCTCAGCCTGGCAATGGTGACATTATGACTAGCGGCTCTAAGCAAACTCGATGTGGTTCAGAGAGCATGACACACACAACAGTTCCCACAAGTGCCTCCTGGGAGAGGGGTGATCAGGTGAAAGACCCTGAGGAAGTATTACCCCTATACAGAATAATGGTTTTAAAATAAACAGATGGGTAAAATAAACCAAAAGTAAGAGGAGGAACGACCCCTAACTGAGATATCACATATTTTTACCTACATTTCTTTTTTATTCAGTTTTGAGGAATTACAGTTGAGGCTGAGGTATTTAAGATAGATTCTCGATAAGTTAAATAGCAGCGTCTTGGTTCCTTTGACCTGCTTATCTTTGGTTTCCAAGATGGTCACTTCTCAGCCCCACCCCCGCTGTCCTCTAGCAGGATTCAGCACCCCTTAATTTTAAAGTTGGCATACATTTCAAGCTACACGTGATTCGTCTTAAATATAATGCCGGAAAATAAATGCTACTAATCTCTTATGGACTATATTTAATCACTTGGCAAAACTGGCCTGGAGCCCTTCACTGGCAAAGATGCCCTGGGGCAGGTTGTGTCGGGCAGTAAAGTGTGCCAGTGTCTGTCTCGGGTGGGCATGAGTAAGGTTTCCCATCTTTAAGGAGCAGTGGAGTCCCTGTCTTTGGGGAGCTGAAGTTCAAATGAGGACACATGATTCCTCCTAGTAGAGACAGGGAAACAAAAAGTAAAGGGCACATAGGATGCAGTGCGAGCAGCCACAAGGAAAACTTCCCAAGTGCAACTATTAGAGAGGACAGAGATATTTGCTAAATGCTGGGAGGAAGGGGAGTGCTTGAGCCCTGGAGCAGGTGGCCTGAGTGTAGTGGGGCGTCAGGGGTCAGTACCCTTCCAGTTCATGAGAAATAGGACAAGGGTTGGGAGGGTGGTCCGAGTCAGGATGATGCGAGTCTCTCGGTACGGGTGCTTAAAAGCCTCTGCTGCCCAGCGACCACATCTGAACTCTCATCTCCCCACAGTGAGGACGTTTGCAAACGTGGCTTCACCGTCATCATCGACATGCGGGGCTCCAAGTGGGACCTCATCAAGCCCCTCCTCAAGACGCTGCAGGAAGCCTTTCCCGCCGAGATCCATGTGGCCCTCATCATCAAGCCCGACAACTTCTGGCAGAAGCAGAAGACCAACTTCGGCAGCTCCAAATTCATCTTCGAGGTGAGGCAGAGCCCCTGTCTATCTCGACCCTTTCTGCCCTTCTGTGCAGTCGGTACACTTCTTGCTTCCCTTCACTGTCTACCGTGTAATGGCCAAGATGTCAGGGGCTAAGATCTGCAGACTCCTGGGCCATCTTGGCCTTGCCGGTTACATTCTGGTATGAATTAGAGGCTCCAGAAAGGGTTCCAAATAGCAACATAATTATACAATTCTCCAAACTGTTGGTGGGCGTGTACATGGCCTAAGGATTTCTGACAGCAGCACTGGGACTCTGTCAAAACTTTTTAAGAGTTTATATCCATGGATCTAGTAATTCTTCTGGAAAACCATTCTTATAAAGCAAAACAAAAAGGTAAAAACAAAATTACAAACCAAATGCCAATAAAGATGTTCACTATAGTTCATTTTGTAAGAGTATATGCTATATATATATGTGTGTATATTATATGTATGTGTACATATTATATGTCTATAATATATTTATTATAGACATATATAAATGTAATATATAAATATATATGTATATAATATATTACATTAACATGTACATGCATCTATTGATTTTTTTCTAAAAATTTTTTATTTTGTTGGCATTGATACTGACATCTTAAAAAGCTATTAAAACATTAGGAAATATTACAAAATGTTCGTGTTATATAATTTTCAAGAGGCAGTTTTTAAAACAATATGGACAGACAGTGTGTTCTTGGATGGTTTTTTTAGTGTCTGCAAGGAGGAGACTAAGAAATGGAATTGTTTGCAGTGGTTTATTTAAGGTGACTAGAAAATGGGGAGTTTATTTTATTCATGTTTTTTTAATCTTCTTTCAAGGATGACATATGTATCCATGAAAGCATGTTGTTTTTAAACTAAAATTTCTGGAGGGCATATGAGTCCTTGAGACTTCATAATGACGACACATCAGATTAAATCAGAGGTTTAAACATTCTTGTTCTAGCCAAATTTGAGCTGAGAGAGAGAGAAAGAAAGAGAGGGGGGTGAGTTTATCTTAAAGTCTGAGGTGCATTTAATCTTTCAGACTTTCCTGTTCTAAAGTGCTGTCCCCAAGGATTAGGAGTGCCTTGTGGCCCCAATTGGATGCAATTTGAGTACAAATAGCCTGACCTCTTGATTGTGGAAGTTCTCACTCTCTATTAATAGCCCAAGAAAATTGTCCTGGTTCAAAAAATAAAGAAATAAACAACAACAAGAACAAAACAGTTAAATATCATAGTCTCCCAGGAGCCTACCAAAAGCTCCAAGTCCCACAGAAAAAAAAAAAAAAAAACATTTAATATTTTTGGTTTGTTTATACAGTGATGGTGAGAACAAGCCTACACATTTATAAGCTGAAGAATATGAAGAGACTATTTCTAAGAAATCTGGGAAGTTTCACTTCTTGTGTAGCTGTCCCCCCCCCCATGACCCTCTTTACCTCAAAGCTGAGCAGAGACTGTCTCTGCCTCCTAAGCCAGAGAGGTAAAACAGATAGCCGGTGACTTCCCCTCCATAGAGCCATTAGAGAGTACTAGTGCTCTGACCAACACAGCAGATGGAATTCCTGCCTCAGATTGAGGCAACGGGTGAGATGGGGAGGAATGACTGTAGAGGCTTGCTCTGTGGCAGACACTGAATGGTGAACAGCCCCTGAGTGTAAACTTTCGAGAAGGGCTAAGCCCGGCCAGAGTGGAAAAGAGAAGCTGCTCCAGAATAAGGATTCTCAAGGTCAATGCACACAAGTCCCCTGGGAATCTTGAAAACATGGAGTCTGCCTCTAGCGTGTGATGGGCCTGTGAGGATATCCTCTGACAGGCTCTCGGGCGGTACCAACGCTGATGGTCTAAGTGCCATGGATAGCCTGGATAGCCGAGACCTAACAACAGCTGGGTTCTGTGCCACTGGCCGCATATTAGAATTACCTGAGGACATGTAAAGCTACCCACTCCTGAGCTCTGGTTTAATGACGTCAGCATCTCTGGGGGTGGGCTTGTCGGTTTCTTCAAGCTACCTAAAGAATTTTAGGGGATCTCAGGCCTGAGAACCCCTGCTCCATGCCATCCCTCCTTTCAATGAAGCTCCCTCTTTTGACTCAGATTGGGTATGCAGGGGTGGGGGTGGGGTGGGGAAAGATTCACAGAGAGCAACAGGACACAGGGCCAGGCTGCCCTTACAGGCTTGTATGCTAGATACTCACTGTCCTTCAGATCACCACAGTGAGGCTGCAACACCTACTCCGCGCCTGGCACCTTATGTACTTGCCACACATGGGCACATTCAATTAGACTTATCATTGTGGGTATAGGGGTATCAGCCTATTTTAGCTCTACTCTACAGGGAAGGAGACGGGGTCCCTGAAATCTTAAGTATCTTGCCCTAGAGCATGAGATTAGTCAGTGAAGGAGACCCTACTCCCTTCATAGCCTCTATACCAGAGAGGAAAAGCCCAAAGCCCTGCAGGCAGGGAAAGGTGCTTACTGATGAGCAGGGTGGCAGCTCGTACTCGGGCTGCAGGTATTTCAAAGAGTATCTCAGTGGCCAAACTGACGTGAGCTCACCTCTCCTGGTTCTCCCAGCACATTGTTGTTCGCTGGAGACACCGTTCCCGGACACAGAATTCTCCACTTACTCTTCAAGCGTTTATTGGAGCCTCACCAAGAAAATAGAAGACCCAAGTGTTGGCTCTCTCCAGTTGTGTTCGGTGTGCTGGGAGAACCGGGGGAGATGAGCTCACATCACTTTGGCCACCGATACAGTCGTAGAGCCCAAGAACTGAGCACATCGCTTAATCCACCCATGACGCTACCCCGGCCACAGGCTTGGGCTTGTTATAGAAAATTGGCCCCTATCTCCTATGCCAGATGCTGGATTCATTTGTCCTCCAGTTTTTGTTTGTAGAATCGGAAAGTCCAGTGGTGAACTCGGGCCGTGGAGAAGGGAAGATGATGGAAACAGGAACACAGGGGTTGTTTTTCCTTGGCTATGAATGTGGTCAGGTGGAGAGGTGTGTTGAAGCAACGGTCAGTCTATTGAACCTGCTGATCTTGGCTGATTTATGGCTCCTGACCAGTAGGCCCCACGGCCTCCCTCTCACCCTCTTATAGGCAGGCTGTGGTTCTAACTGTATAGACTTGTCCTTTTCTTCCTCCTGGCTATTTCTGCACTGGTGTCTCCCCCTCCCCTACCCCACCCCACCAATCCATATCACCGTGTCTTCTTTTTGTGTCCTTCCTTCCCAGACAAGCATGGTGTCCGTGGAGGGCCTCACGAAGCTGGTGGACCCCTCCCAGCTGACGGAGGAGTTTGACGGTTCCCTGGATTACAACCACGAGGAATGGATCGAGTTGCGCCTCTCCCTGGAGGAGTTCTTCAACAGTGCCGTACACCTGCTCTCACGCCTAGAGGACCTGCAGGAGATGCTGGCCCGGAAGGAGTTCCCTGTGGATGTGGAGGGCTCTCGGAGGCTTATCGACGAGCACACACAACTTAAGAAAAAGGTGCTGAAGGCCCCCGTGGAGGAGCTGGACCGCGAGGGCCAGCGGCTGCTGCAGTGCATCCGCTGCAGCGACGGCTTCTCGGGGCGTAACTGCATCCCAGGGAGCGCCGACTTCCAGAGCCTCGTACCCAAGATCACCAGCCTCCTGGACAAGCTGCATTCCACCCGACAACACCTGCACCAGATGTGGCACGTGCGAAAGCTCAAGCTGGACCAGTGCTTCCAGCTGCGGCTCTTCGAGCAGGATGCCGAGAAGGTAGGAAGGGAGCAGGCCAGGCCGGAGCTCTGGTGTGTGTGTGGGGGGGGATAGCTTTATAGGGAAACTGCTGGGGTTGTCAATCCAAATCTCTGATTGGTCGAAATTCTTTTTAATAGACGCCCATTGGTTTCAGCCAGTTTAAATTTATTTCAACCTCATATTTGGCCGTTGACCACTGGCTATTAAAATTTTTTTCCCTTATATTGGATTTATTACACGCCAGGCTCTGTTCTTAGGACTCTGTGTAGATGAACTCGCTTTCACCGTCTTCTGAAACCTAAGAGGTAAGCGGGTTACTGTACAGGTGGAAGTAGCTAAGCTAGGGAGTGTAATCCGGTTGCAGAGTCCATGCCTCTCTCAGCGCTGTTAGCCCCTGCCCTCTGTGCCTGTGAGGAATGAGTGGGTTGAGCTGCTAACAGCCGACACATCAACACTCTTTACCACTATCACTGTTGTTCTAGAGCGGACCTCCCTTGCAGTGGCTGTTTCAAGGATGGGTTCCTGCTTAATCTGTACAGCCCCTCAGTCCCCGTGAGGCAGGTGGTGGCGTCCATCTTGACACAAGCCACCTGAGGTCTTTGTTCCTGGCGATGCTGACCTGAGGATCCAGTCTTCTGTTTCCAAGTTCCAGGCTCTCCTTGCCACTTGTTTTCGAAGCACTCTTTCAAATAAGATGCCATTGTCACAGCAGTGCATTTCCAAAGCTTTGCCTTTGTCATGGAAAAGCAAGATAAGAAAAAGAAAGAAAGGTCTCTAGAGTCTCTTTGCTGAGAACACGAAGTATCTTCTCCAGATTCTCTTTAAGCTGAAGTGGAGAAAAGAAGGGTTTGCTTCTAAGTGCCCTCTAAGAAGAGGGAAACACGCTGCCTCCCTCTTCCTAGTTTCCTAGGTGCGACTTTACCCTAAGAACATGATGTTGGTCTTAGGAATGCTGTGGCCTCTTTCAAGAACCTGTGGTTTTACAGTATCTGATTCAGAGGGTTTTAAGAGCCAGTGTTATGGCCTGAGGAGGTAACTTGCTTGATAAAGTGCTTAGCTTCCAAGTTTGAGGACTTCAGTTTGGTTTCCAGAACTCACTTAAATGTCAGGCATGGTGACACATGCTTGCAACCTCAGCGCCGGGGAGGTAGAGACACATAAATCCTTGAATTTGATTGACCAATCACCTCTTCAGTTCCCCAAATCACAACTTCTAATGCTTACACATTAGCTCTTATCCCTTCTGAAACATATAGGCCCCTCGTTTGGTGAAACATATGGCCTGACTTATCACAGTAATATTTGTGAATATCGGAAAAATATAGGTAGGCTGGTAAAGCAAATAAAGTGCAGTATTAACTTTTTTTAAATACGTGCTTTTTAATTAATATGACAAATACAGAAGCTACTAGAAACCTAATGCCACCTTAACTTGGAACCAGTGAGAAACATGAATGGCATTTCAGAATGATTCTGATGTGATACGGTTCTTGTTGCTGCTGTTAGCGAAGGTACCGATTCTGTCAACTCTGGGATAGTTCGTTGTCTGTGTTCATAGTGGAAAGAAATTTCAGGTAGACCTTAGTGAAAGCAAAGTTTCCTCCCATCTTCCTACACCATCACTAAATTCAAATCCATCGATCTCAGTTTAGAAGTGAGGCTGGAGAGACGGATCAGTAATTACAACCACTCGCTATTCTTTCAGAGGACCCAGGTTCGATCCCCAGCACCCACCTGGTGACCCACAACTGTCTGTAACTTCAGTTCCAGGGGAGCCAACACCCTCTTCTGACCTCTGTCAGTACTGCACACACATAGTACACACACGTGCACACACATAGTATACACACGTACACACACAGGCAAAGCACTCGAACACCTAAATAAAAATCACTGTTAAAAGGAAAAGGAGTGTGTTCGCGCATGTATGTGAATGTACATTTGTCTAGAGAGGTGCTCAGGGAGAGACAGAGAATATTAAAAACAAAGCAGAGGTAGGGAGCAGGATGCTGGAATATTTTGACACTGAGTCAGTGGTGAGACTGGTGCCCCGGCCTGACCCAGCTGCCACAGAAAGCGCGCTGGGTGTGGAGCTGGGGAGCAAAACAGCCCTTTAAAGTTGCAACCAGATTAGTTTAGAAGATCCGTGCCCAGCTGAGTGCCTCAGCCTTTGACTTATTTGGTGATTTTGGACAGGGGTCAAGGGGTGATGGTTTGGAGTAAGGGCTGTGCGTGTACATCCACATCTAAACAAGGGCACATGGAAATAGTTCCTGAATGAGCCACATCTTAGCCTCCCGGCAGCGGGGGTGGGGGTGGGGGGGTGGTCAGTGAAACTGCTCCAGATCTGGGAAGCTTTTGCAAGTCAGTTAAGTTCAATGGCCATTCTGCTCCTATTTTTAGAACAGGAGTAGGCCAGAGTCTCTCCTCTGGCCCTGTGAGCTGACCACTCGCCCTCCAGGCGTGAAAAATAGACTGGTGGCTCCTCACTCCCCAGCTGTCCTTGGAGGGTGAAGCTGTCCCTCGCAGCCTTTCCTGATCCCTGTGACAGCCCCCTTCATTGAATGTCTTGGAGGTGGTAGGGATGGAACCATGCTCTCTCCCAACAGGGAGGAGTGTTCTGTCCTACAGATGTTATAGAGCTGTTCCCTCCAACCCCCATATGTAATCATGAGTGGAGAGAAACTGACCTGGGTACAAATGAACTACTTGGATAAATATGTACAGAATGGGGTTTATGACCCAGAGTAACTCACTATGTAATAAACGTGACAGACACCTGTTTCTTTATGTGTCAGAACAGATTCGAGGTTTATTATTATATAACAAAGCACGCATTTAAGGTATACAATCTGATGAGCCTTAGATGTGAGGAGACACCTTGAAGCCATAACGGAAATCAAAGTCATACGCTGTCTCCCCCTCTGTAAGTGTTCAACTTCTCCCTTTCCTGTGAATGTCTGCCCTGGCCTGAACTGCCCCAGGCATAGCTGCTGTGTTTGGGAGTTCCTAGGCATGAGGGAACATCAGAGCTCCGGAGTGATGGAGAGGCCGTAATAGGAAAGCTGAGAGTGTTGGGTAATTCAGAGATGATTTAACTAGTCCACGACGCTGGGAGATGAACCACTTCTGCCTCAGCCCGTCGTCCTCTAGTCTGTAACTAACAGACCCATACGGTACTGTGTTCACAGAGCAACACAGGCCTGGCTGCTACTCGAGCCTGGAACAGATTTGAGTTATCCATACAGCTTTGGTTTTAGCCACATCTGCCCCTGGCTTCACTGGGCCCCATGTGAGGAAAATGTATACTGTATAACAGTAGCCTGTGCCCAAAGAGAAGGGGTGGGCTGTGAGTGGGATTGAAGGTCAGTAACCAGACTCATGGCCTACAGAAGAGGAAAGGGTGGGCGCTTCCCAGGGGAGGTTCTTCTGTAGACACTGCTCCCGGGAGTTTGGGTAACATTTAACATGATAGACCTGGAAGGGATCTCACTTCAAAAAGCCTGCCTCCTACACGCAGTGAGAAGCCTCAGCCTTGTGAAATGGCAGCCATTATCACCTCATGATGCCCACTTAGAAGGAGAAGCATCAGAAAACTGCTGACACTGTTTCCCCACCTGCCTTCTGATCTGGGGAAAGCCCTCCTCTTCACAGCTGAGGAAACATGTATGGGGCACCACTGGGTGAAAGGCCTCCAGCCACTGAGGAAGGGCTGTATGCATGTATGTGTGTTTGAGAATCCTTTGCCCTGTTAGCAACATTAGCATTTCAAGACATCCCAGAATGCCCCATTGCCAGGCAGAACTGTTTCCCGCTCTCTCCTTCCAAGATATAAATAGTTCTGATCACTCCCTGGAGTCCAAAGCAGAAGCCAAAGTGGGGTGGCCAGAATCATTGTGGAGAAATTCCGCTAGCTCTCCTGTGCAGGACATGGGCCCATTGTCTCTTCTCTTCCCCTGGCCTCCAGCCCCGTGTGCTGGAAGCCAGCAGTAAGCATGACTCCCACAGTCATTTGTCAAAGTGAAGTGCTCACAATATCAATGCTTGATATGTGTTTGACTGTCAGTTTTGAAAGAGTTCTCACACCCACGACCTTAGAGGTTTTCTGGTCCAGCCCTTCCTTTACATAGAAAAATTTGGATCACAGCAGAGACCCGCCCAAAGCCACCCAGTCAGTGGTTCATCGCTTGGTCTGCCGTTCGCGTCACGTGGCAGGGCAGTCAGGCATGGGTCTAAGCCCTGCTCTGCACGTGGAGAAGCCAAGGAAGGCATGGTGATGTAGGAGTTTTTCCTGGGAGAGAGAAAGAGATAGGCAGCACCAGAAAACAGCATTTTTCTCTAAGGCCAGTGCTGTGCCCTCACACAGGGGTGCACCCACAGGCACCCACACATGCACGTGTGCACAGAGGGGAGGAGGAGGAAAGAAGGAGAAAGACGTGCATATAGACACTGGCAAATACTCATATGTACTAGCAAATACTCATACTAGCAAATACAGCCAGACACAGCCAGACACAGCCAGTCTTTTAGAGACTTCTTGCCATACGAGAGAGATGGTGACACGTGCCTGTATCCTACAGATTGGCTCAAGGGCCTGAGGAGAACTGCTACCTTGCATATGCTCTTACCACTGATGTGGTAAAGGACCCAGCACTGGGCAGGCCGCTGGAGGGCTGTGCCCCATCCCCGTGTGATTCATTTGTCGAAGCCTTTTTCGTTGGGAGGAAGGCTTCAAAAAAAAAGCTGCCACCTTCTGTGAGGCTGAGAGGGCAAAGTCTTTGCTGGGCAGTTTGTCATTTCCTGCTTTCTTTGGAGAGAGGTCGGGGTGCCCTTGTTCTTGGCCTCCTCCCTTTCCCTCTAGACCTAAACCATCAAACCTCTCCACCTCTTGTTGACTGAGCTCAGGGTAGGGAAGTGTGTCGCTACCCCGCCCCCTTGACACAGAACACAGCGTCCTGAATTATTTCCAGCCTGCCGGCCCTGGGAATTTGTACTTACTTTTTCTCATTTCCTCCCCT